ATATATATATATGGCACAAATATCAAGAAACTAAACTAACACTAATTTAGGCACTATTAATAATTTCTGTAACAAATAACGTACCCCATAAGGAAATGGTATGCATTAGAACTAATTATTTTCACGTCATTCATTTTAATTTTTAATGAATTAGTGGAGTATTGGATATTTTCAAAATTTTTCTTTATGGAACCGCTGCGAAGTAAAGAAGTGTATTTGCCTAAACTTACCCAAAGCCCTCTCTGGCCTGGCGAGAATCCAGTCGTCGGAGCTGGAGAGGAGGCCATGCTGCACGTAGACGGGTTTACGGTTGGCTGTCTTGGTTGTCGATGTCTTCCCATACGGAATACGGAACACTGTGAGGATGTATCCGTCCTCTGTGGTTACTTCATGTTGCTCCACTGGGTACCCGTACTTTGTGATAAGTTCCGGCTGTAGAGGAGATAAACTTTTAATTTTTTTAAAATAAAATCTTTATTTTCAAACTTCAGAAATTTCTATTATTTTTTAATTGGGGTAAAGCGAATTCATTTTCAATAATTTCACTCCACCTTGATATGTTCACTAATTTTTATTTTAGTACACTGTCGAATAGAATTAAGATTTGTGGAAACACTTGATATATCATCTTTTAAATTCATTTATCACAGACAATTTCTACTTTCTCACAAGAACTCTTTTAATTCTGACATCAAAAGATAATTAAAATATTATATCACAATGACAGATAATGTTGTGCGTAATAACCAGTATAATATATGAATATCTAATTATTTCGAACTCAATTCTAGTCATAAAATTTAAAATAAGCTATATAGAACTTCACAACTAACTTGTACTCAAAACGTTTATCAGCAAGAGTCAAAAGCAATATTTCTAGGTAATTATTTTTTATTTTAATTAGCTCCTTAAAACATCTCTTCACCTCCAACATGCTGTTAGAATCAATTCAGTTACTGATTTGTAGGTGATGAAGAAGAAACAAGATATCATTGGTCACAAGCCATGGAAAAATATGAATCATTTTTACTACAAAACAATCTTTTTGAACAGAACAGTATATACTATAACTACTGCTTGGAACTTTTCACAGTATTTGTATCCACTTTATTTTGTTTACGAAACAGCTCCTAATACTCCTTGTACAGTTTGTCTATCGGAAATTGAATCATGAAGTTATTTATTAAATTCAATTATTTTTGTGACGAATTTAATATTTTCATCTCTAACAGGCAGTTTCACCATTCACAATCAATACATAAGCATCCGTAACTACTTTAAAATGGATGAACCACCAAAAAAATAATTTATCTTTGATATTGAAAATGTTTTCGTTGATTCTGTTATTCGGAAATACATGGAATCCGAGACTTACAAATAGCCAATACTGATTGTATTAACTTCAATTGGAATGGTTGTTGCGCCAAGAGAACTTAAGATGTGATATTTTAAGCTATATAGAAGACATAAAAATTTACAAATTTATAAGTTGTCTACGCCTAAGACGATAAATTATTACAAATACATCGTATTTGCACGCCCAAACAAGCTTCTGCATAAGAAAATGCATATACTCGCACCGCGCTCCTTTCGATGCATCTACGTGCATATTACCTACACTTTGTTTCAGAATCAGTCCCAAGTATTACGTTTAATGCTTACTTTTCTGTTATTGTCGTAATTTGAATTTCTTACGACTCAGAGCATCCAAAAGATGCATTCACCCATTTTCCTATTTACATAAAGAAACGTTTTCGTAAAGGGTCCAATAACATCATACCTGTCAGGGTCCCGTGAGAGTTTCTCTATATAAAAGGGAAAGTAAGGTCATGCGAATGGGCTCCATGCATCTCTATATCTGGTAATCGGGTAACGAGTCGCTTGTGTCAGTACGTTGGTTCGCAGACCTGCTCCTTACCCCCATTGCCTCAAATGTGGTGTCATTGGACGCGTTGCCGTTCGGTTGTGGAGAAATGACTCTTTTTACTGGATCCCTACAGAATGTGTCGTTAAAAAACATTTTTGGGGGTGAGTGTTAATACCTAAAATGTGTTTAGGGAGTATTTTAAGGCACCTGAAAGAAACTGGTGTGGTGAAAAGCTCTGAAATATTAAAGTGCTTTTCCGTCAAAACATGCATTGCTATGACTTCATCAATCAGATTGTAGACAAAAAATGTATTTTGCATTGAAACAATTTCTTTAAAAGGAATAATTTCTGTATTTTTATGTAACTCCCAGGAATGAATTAGCCATGCAACTGTGCTACGTTAGTTTATTTTTGTTTATTTTTGTGAGTAACACAAATTAACGTTTGTAGCACATTGACGTTTATTTATAGCACCAATTGAGGTTTTAATTGAGGGAATCGCCGCCTCCTCCCCACCGGAACCGCCAGACTAAGCTAAAATGTGAGTAAAAAAGTAAGGTTTCTGCAAGGCATTGGCTGGAAGATGCAGCCCGTTAGCAGCTCTTCTGTAGAATCCTTTTACGTGACAGTTTTCGTGCAGATTCTCATACAGAAACTATACAGAAACTTCAAGAGCCCAAACTATAAGTATAAAAGGCAAAAGTCGTGTTTACGTCTGCATGTTTTCTATACGATTTGCCACTGCCATGGCATCACGGGTAAATTCCTGAATGGCGTCGTCCGAGAACTTTCACTCCCATCATTTGTGTACGCGCGATCTGAGCTAGATCATCAACGTTTTTCGAGTATTGACAAAATACGGTGGTGTGGAAATAGAAAGGCCGTCATCATTGTGCCTACTGGCGTGATTGTGGGCTACATAGGATTTAGAGAGTGCGAAAAAACAAAACAAAAAAAAAAAACACTCAGAATGAAGGAAGTCTTGGTGTCTAAAGCTAGATTCAGAAATCTCCCTTTTCCAAAATGCAGTGAAATAAACTCCCCAGAAAAACTTGAATCCCCGGGCTAATGCACAAAACGTCTAGACTCGCCCTTAACCTAATCATAAAAATGGAACGGATGGACCATTTTCGCCTTACAGAACGCCGTTAGTGAACGAATCTGCCGCTAGACGCGATAGTCAAATTGTACGCTTTCTTTTCGCAAAAAACCGAACATGCTGAAAAGTTTTCATGGAGAAATCGCGCAGTTGTGTACTTCTGTACGTCCAACCCGCATGAAGCCTGTAATGCGCAAGCCGCCCGTTACGTACGCAAGAGAGGTAGGCGTCCTCCTCCAGCACGCGGGGCTCCGGGGCGGCGGAGGCTGCGGCCGCGAGCAGCGCGACGGCCACGAGCAGCGCGGCGGCGGCGGCGGGCGACATGGCGGCGGTGCGCAGCCGGGCCCCTCGCGCGCTTTTAAGCGCGCCTGCACCCCCGCGCTCCCGCGCTCTCCGCGATCCGGCGGCGATTAGATACGGAGAGGACAGGACGCGGTAGTAAATAATAAGTAAGGCTCGACCAGCGAAGTGGCTCAGAGCGAAGCGCACACTGGGATTCGCAATCGAGAGGTCCGGGTTCGATCCCCGGGCTGGCCTTCTGGACCGGGGTTTTCGTGGTTGCCATCGGTTATAAGGTGAATGCTGGGACCTCCCACCTCCCATTCCACCGCCTAACGCCTCCTACCGCCATCCTAGTCCTCTCATCCCTTATCATCACTCTCACTTCAATCCTAATAATAATAATAATAATAATAATAATAATAATAATAATAATATCACCCCATAATTGATATTAAAGACTAACATCCTTGTCCTGACCAAGGGATGCAGCCGAAACGCTGATCCCCTCAATTCACGCGTTGATCTCTCCAGGATAGGATATTACTGGGCTCCGGAGAAAACTGTGTTGTGTGGACAGTAGTGGCCCATACGCGAATAATAATAAATAATATTGCTTGTTGATGGTGGAGAAGATCTGGTGTATTTGAGGCATAGGTGGCTCAGTGTATCAACTGATGGCAATGCAAGCCTATGCCCCAGGCGGTCCTAGAGTTCAAATCCCGGCGGTGACAGGATTTTCAGCTCCAGATACATAGCTAGGTCAAATTCAGCCGCTGTCTGAAAGATAATTCTAGTGACGGCTGCTCAA